TGACACGCGTGTGTCAGCACTGACACGCGTGTCATAGGTTCGCCATCACTGATATATACAGTCAATATGATATGTCAGAAAATTCAGCTTCCTAGAACTGAAGATTTTCTCAACTTTTAGAAGAATTTTAGTGAAGAAATGAGATCATTTCCAAGTGAATGTAATTTCAGAATTTAGGTGCATTCTACTGGAAACACCAACAAACAATCCATCGGAATACAGTTCAAATACAGTTTCCATAAGCATTGAATCCAGATTGAAAAAGAGGTCCATTTAAATGTATTGATGCTAATCCATTTAGGATTTTGGAGATCATCTGTAGCAGTGTGAATTGTAGCCTGGAAACAAATTGAAAAACACAGTAGCTATTTCAGAAGATCAGACCTACATTCTCAGTGCAGTGTCTGTTAACAATTGGGCTCCTACATTTTGACCCAGTTGTAGTTTTCAAGTATTGTTTGAAGTTGGTGTTGGTAGAGTATACTGCAGTAATCCAGATATGATGGGACTGAGGCAGATGCCACAAGAACTGTATCTCTGGGGCTAGGCAAAGTTGATAAACCAGTCTTCAAATAACATGGTCACTTTGTGTGACTGGAATTCCTCAAGGATTAAAAATAAGTTGGACTCATCAATATCCAGGTACAAGTAATCCCTATAGTTACTACAGCTCTGCAAAAGTCTGGCTACATCGACTCTTATCTCCCGATCAAATAATGTTTTATCTCTAATGTTCTATCTATGTTCAGTTTCTTCCTCCAATTCATCCTGGTTCCATCCTGCAAAAATAATTAGATACAAAAACAATCAATGAATGCAGCTTTAGTACCAATGCAACTGCACCCCTAACAAACATAATGGACAGTATGTGTGTCTCCCTTGAGAAGTAAATCTCTCCTAGAGTTGCTGCTATATTGTAATTACAGGTAGTCCTCAACTTGCAAGAATTATTTTAGTGACCATTCAAAGTTACAACGGCACTGAAAAAAAATGATTTTTGACTGGTGTTCACAGCATCCCCATGGACACGTAATTAAAATTTGGATGTTTGGCAACCAACATGAATATACAATGATTGCAGTGTCCCAGGGTCACATAATCGCCATTTGCGATCTTCCCTGACAACTTCCGATAAGCAAAGTCATTGGGGAAACTGGATTCACTTAATGACTGCAGTGATTAATTTAACAATGACAAAAAAGGCTGTAAAATCAGCGGTAACTCATTCAAAAATTTCTACTGCTCAGCAATAGAAATTCTGGTCCCATTTGTGGTCAGAAGTCAATATCTTTAATGCATTTTGCATTTAGTTTTTCCAATGTAAAACTATACAGAGTTACAGGGAGAGATGCCAAAGAAAGAAAGAAAGAAAATTGACAATAGTAAGGAGATGAATTTTCAGTTCTATTCACTGCATTGACCTTACGAGTTTACCAACATTTAAGACATCTGGCTATCGTCTAACAAATTGAGTTTGTAGAATTTAAGAATAATTGTTCTATAATTGAAATATGAAGATTAAGAAGATAAATTATTTATATTTTTAGAAATAGAAAAACTTTATTTTGTGCTTAACAGGTAAATGTACGTAATGGAATGACTCTTCATGACTGTCTTATGAAAGCACTCAAAGTTAGAGGTCTGCAGCCAGAATGCTGTGCTGTTTTTCAATTACCTACTGAACACAAAGGGTAAGTATTGGAATTAAATTGAATATAAATAATTTCATCCCATGAGATTATTTAAGATAATATTTACTATATTTCATTTCATGTAGCAGCTGCAGATTCTTCTCTTAAAAAGGACTTTTTCCTTCTTCTATAAATCAGCTATGATTCTCACTTTAGATATTCTTTTGCTTTTTATAGGATGAGATCACATAATTCTATACAAAGCTGCTGGGGAGGATGTCAGTCCTTTTAAGGCTTATACTGAAGGCCACATTAAGCCCAAATCATGGATGATGTCAGTTTGCTTTTTTCTCCTGAACATGTAAATTCCAGATAACTTAAGGTTCAAGGGCAAGGATGTCAAACTCAAGGCCTGGGGACTGAATCTGGCCCACAGGGCGCTTAGATTTGGCCAGCGGGGCTACCCTGGAAACATTGAAGGACCGTCCCACATGTGGCCCTCCATCTTCGCTGGTAGAGGGTTGTAGGAGGCCATCACAGTTGAAAATTGTGCTCACGAGGGCTGCGGGAGGCACTCCCAACCTCTATTTTCGCTGACAGAGGGCTGCAGGAGGCCATCACAGCTGAAAACTGAGCTTGTGAGGGCTGCAGGCAGCACACCCAAACTCCATTTTTGCTGGCAGAGGGTTGCAAGAGGCCTTCGCAGCTGAAAATGGAGCTTGTGAGGGCTGCAGGAGGCATTCCCAACCTCTGTTTTCACTGACAGAGGGTTGCAGGAGGCCATCACAGCTGAAAACAGAGCTCGCGAGGGCTGTGGAAGGTGCTCCCAACCTGTTTTTGCTGACAGAGGGTTGCAAGAGGCCATCACAGCCGAACACTGAGCTTAGGAGTTGGTTTTCACTGGCAGAGCGCTCGGGCCACCATAGGTGCCCCTAACAGGAGTGATGTCAAGTTGCCCCCCCCCCCCAGGTCAAACATAACTCTGATGCAGCCCTCAATGAAATCGAGTTTATCATGTGCCACTCTTGGCCTCCATGAACAATTATAATACTAACTTATTGCTTGCAAGTTTTGAATCAGCCTAGAAAGTAAAATACATTTTCACATGTATCTTAAGGTAGTTCTGCTTCTAACTAACAATTATATGAAATAAATGATGTTTCCAAATAATTTTTCCCCATAATTCTTTGGAAAGTGAATACTTGCAGATATTTAAGAGAGTTTTTTTTTTTTTTTTTTAGTAAAAAAGCACGATTGGATTGGAGTACAGATGCTGCATCCTTGATTGGAGAAGAGTTACAAGTTGACTTCCTTGATCATGTTCCACTCACAACACATAACTTCGTATGTTAATCTTTTGTATGTATAGAAGAACTGGAAATGCTTTATGGAAATGCTTTATCTAGTGCTGCTAGATTTCTATACAGACTTTATCCTTTATTTTGTCTTCTCACAAAATAAACATGTAAATCAGAAAGCTACAATATAGTTGAGTTTTCTGATTTTTCCAATATTAATATAAAACAGTTTTGTTCATTAGTCTTGTAGTATATTGTCCTTTTCTTTTCTACAGTTTTTTTCTTGTTTGCATTTGACATTTTTCCTTGCAAGATTAAGAATTACCAAGTGTAGTTTAAAACCTCTCCTTTCTAAATGTCCATTAAAATGGTCACAAGTGTAGTTGTAGATGGATTTTATACCCAAAGTAGCCAGGGGTGAAGTACAGTCCCTCCTCTGATCTGTGCATCAATGCCTATATTGTTAGAAAATTATTTTTTTATTAATTAATGTAAATAACACAAACTAATTTTCTTAACCATTTAGTGATTTTTCCATTCTTCATGCTCCTCTATAGATCTTAGCAGCAAATTTGTGAACAGGTTCTCCTGGTACATATATACGTAAATATGTAGTAGTCAAAGATATTCTGAGCTTCCTTTTCTTGCATGAAGAAAGAAGCAAAAAATACTCTAATTTATGTTATGATCCTGTATGCACTTGGATCGTTGCTGTGCTTAATGCTTCTTCCAATCTTGGCCTAATGATTGTAATAGAACATTCTCACTAATCAAGTACAGGTATTACAAAATGAAAGTATGGAGGGAGCAGGGGACATGCCAGCTTCAGCTCTTTTTTCTGAAACTTCTGAAAATTGGTGAGAAAAATGTAAAAAAAGACTCTAAACCAGTGGTTCTCAACCTGTGGGTCGGGACCCTTTTGGGATCGAACAACCCTTTCACAGGGGTCGTCAAAGACCATCGGAAAATACATATTTTTGACTGTCTTGGGAACCGATACACCAATTTTATTGTTGGGGGTTAACACAACATGAGGAACTGTATTAAAGGGTCACAGCATTGGGAAGGTTGAGAACCACTGCTCTAAACGTTGCTTCATGCAGTCCTCTGTATGAAATGTGTAGTTCTCTATATCAGTGTTTTTCAACCACTGTGCCGCGGCACACTAGTGTGCCGTGACATAGTGTAAGGTGTGCCATGGGAAAAACACTTTATATATAGTCAATATAGGCACAGAGTTAAAAATTTTTAACATTTTCTAATGGTGGTGTGCCTCGTGATTTTTTTCATGAAAAAAGTGTGCCTTTGCACAAAAAAGGTTGAAAAACACTGCTCTATATGATGTAAAAGCCCTTGTCATCAGTGTACAAAAATTGGAACACAATTTCACGATCCTTTTGTCTTTTCATTTAGTAATGCAGGCATTGGGCTAGGATATATAAAGATACTCCAAAGTATTTTTTTAACCCATCTGTAAATTTAGCATGGGTTAGCCTTTCTGAAACTTCTGTCCTTTTGGGTATGTTGAACTTCAAAGAATCTTTGAAATTGATATGGTACATAGTGAGAAGAAAAGATAACTCTTAGCAAATGCAATATGTACTTGGTTTTTTGGGGGGGGAGGGAGAGTAATTAAAGGACAATTTGAGAATTCTCCATGTGATATCATACATACAAACAGAGAGAAACCTGTTTGAGCATGTACTTGTTTCTGTGTGCTTATTAAAATTTGATCATGATCCTTAGAATTATAAAAACTGAATGCCCATGAAAATGTACTGAAGCAATTTGAAAATATAAACTAAAGTTAGTTTTTGAAAACACATTTATTGAAAGTTTTTTTCCCTTTGTAATTGGCAACATAAATGACAAACAATTGCAATTATTTTCCAGGCACGGAAAACATTTCTGAAGCTTGCATACTGTGACATCTGTCAGAAATTTTTACTAAATGGATTCCGATGTCAAACCTGCGGTTACAAATTCCATGAGCACTGCAGCACAAAAGTTCCAACTATGTGTGTGGACTGGAGCAATATCCGGCAACTCTTGTAAGGACTTTTGAGGATCTGGGATAGAAGTAATTCTACTTGTTGAAATAATGCAGAATCCTGATTGCTAAAAAAAAAAAATATACGGCCACCCTATTATTGAAGAATTGCCTGGTTGATTGATGATTCTTTCCTAAACTATGTAAAAGTTGCAAGGAATTTTTTTGAAAGGTTGAACTACTTTGTTTGCTATTATCATTTCAATTTGCCTAGTTCCTATCTAATGCCTCCATCTGTGACTTGATATGCAGTAACTGTGTGCATGTTATTTTAATCATCTAGCTACATCTTTTGTATTTTTTATTTGTCCTTAGTACACCTGGCAGGAGCTAGGCTTTGGTCTGTTTGTTGCCAGTGCAGTTTCCCTAAAGTACTCAGTTGTTTGTTTTTCTTTTGTTATTAATTCTGGTGCTTGTTTCAACAGGTAATATCAGGAATGGGGAAAAGTATTTGTAAAATTAGCTGCCCCTCCTGTTTGTTTAGAATCTTTGTCATTTCACTCACTGCTGCAACTTTACAGCTAAATTTATAGTGGGTTGTGTTGCTCAAAGATGCAAAGCGAAGTACTTAATATAGAATCTAAAAACAACTTTTTATTGTAATTACTTTTATAGTCTGATTCGGCCATCGCGGAAAACCAAAATGTGTTTTATTTGATTTTGGTGTGGTGAATCCAACCATGGTGGTTTAGAAATTGTGATATATATGGATTTCCATGTTTTAGCTAAACCAAATGTAATTTGCTCAGTAAACAATAATTAAAGCAGTGAGTAAGCAGGTCTACTACTCCTTTGTCTTTACTAATTTTGTACTCTTTTCCTTGCTAGTTTATTTCTTGTACTAGTTCTGACATGATATTAAAAATCTCTATTAAAGCTAATATAATTCTTGTGATAGAATGACAATTTACACATTTTTGCAAAGAATCTGCAAAAGCATTTAAAATCAAAATGACTTGCTTTGCGTTCAGAATGGCTGTTCTGCATTCATTATGTGTTGTTTCAAGCATTTTGATAATATTTCCCCTTTGAACCCAAAATAGCATGTTTTAAAGTAACTGTTTTGGACTGAAAATGGGAGCGCCTCAAATTCAAAGTTGTTTGCATCCAAAATCTTGCATATTCCTTTTGTCAGTCATTTCCAACTTGATGCTATCATTTCACCATTATCAGCTGTCAGTAACTCTTTGAGTTCTCATAACCTCATATTTGTGTCATCAGTTATAGTCAGAGGTGGGTTCCTACTGGTCCAGTCCGGTTCGGGCGAATAGGTAGTAACTCCAGCAGACACGTGACCGTACTATCCTCGGTGGCGCCACCATCTTGTTTTTCTGTTCTGCACATGCACAGAACAATCTTCATGGAAAAATGTAATCCCCCCCTTTTTTACTGTTGTGTGCATGCGCAGACCATTTAAGTGCAAATGCCCTGCCCACCCGCCCACCCAGTCACTCCTCACCTCCTGAGTGGCTTTCCTGCCTAAGCTGCCATGTGGTACCTGCCCTGCGCTCCAAATGAGCTGCCTCCTCCTCCTGCCTATAGTTAAGTCTCTCTAGTCCACCCCCAGAGCTTGCTGTGCCCCCCCACCAGGCTCACAACCTTCCTTTCCCCCATCCCTTCCAGGATCCCCACCAGCCCCATTTTGGCTCCCAGCAGGCTTTAGGGAGGTTTGCAAGGTCCCAAATAGAGCAGGGGGGGGGCACACCACTTTGGCTCCCAGCAGCTTCAGGGAGGCCTACTAGGCCCAAAATAGAGCTTGGTGTGGGGGACTAGCAAGCCTCCCTAAAGCCCCCTGGGAACAAAAGCAGGGGGGGGGTCGCTTCAAGAGTGGAAGAAAGGAAGAAATCCTCACCATTTGGGGATGGTGCATGGAGCAGGGGTCTGCAAACTTGGCAACTTTAAGACTTGTGGACTTCAACTCCCAGAATTCAGCTCTGCTGGCTGGAGAATTTGTGGAGTTGAAGTCCACACGTTTTAAAGTTGCCAAGTTTGAAGACCTCTGGCATGGAGTGGGAGCTTATTGAAAGTGCTGCTAGCTATCCTTGCTCAGGCTAAGTAATCAATAGTGGAAGGAAAGGAGAGAGGGAGGGAAGGAAGAAAAAGGGAAGGGAAAGTGAATGTGATATGGAGGGAGGGAGGGAGGGAGAGAGAGAAAAAGGAGAGGAAGGATGGACCACAAACCTGGCATTAGACGCAGCTTCAGAGGATGCTTTGAAACAGCACAGCAATCCAGGGCTGGAAGTTATCAGAGGTTATCTAGTTCAACCCCCTGCTGCAGCAGGAGACCTTATATCATTTTGGTTATTTTAGTGTCTCTAATACAGAGGAGAAATTCCCAGAAATCCCCAGGCATTGCCAACTACTCCTCCCTAGTAAAAAAAAAAAAAAAAAGCAAATGCAGCATTAAAAAGAATAGAAAAGAGGGCTGCTGTGTATTGCTTAATGGACTGCTAAATTGGCAAAATGGACGGCTAAATTTGCCATGCCCATCCAGTCACATGACTGCCAAACCACTCCTACCTGGTCACATGACTACCAAACCACGCCCCAAAAATAAGCCACGCCGACAGAACCAGTAGTAAAAAAATTTGAAACCTACCACTGGTTATAGTATCTAACCATCTGATACCTTTCCCCCGAATTGTCTTTTTTTCCTAGGCCTCAGGTCTCCTCTAGAGATTTCCTCATTCTGTATACAAAATATTTAAGCTTTAGCTTCAGTATTAGTGCTCTCAATAAATAATATGGTTTTAATTTATCTTTCACTGAATGTAGGTCTTGTATTCCAAGGTAATCTAAACAATTTTCTCTAGCAACTATAGTAGAGAAGCATTTCTTCATTCCATCTTTCTGGTGGTCCAGCTTTCAGAGTAGTGTTTTACCACTGGGAAAGTCAAGGCCTTGGTTTGTACCTTTGTTACGTATCTTTGTGGCCAATTCGATATCTCTGCACTTTAACATTTGGTTTCAGTCTTCCTTCTTTCTTTCAAGTAGCAGGCAGCTTTATTTTACTCCATATTTTACTTGTACTGTAGTTTCTTGGTCATCATAAAAATACTTCAAAAGATAAATGAGTTGGAGAAGGTACCCCCCCCCCATGTATTTAAGGGCTATTTATAATTAGTTGGAGTCTTCACACACAAAAGTCTTTGTATAATTAATAGGGAAAATATAAGTAACTTTTTGGAATTCTCTTGCTTTTTTAAAATTATCCATCAGATCTTAGCAATATGATCCTGGATGCCTTTTTGTTCTGAATCCAGCATGTTCATCTGGCAGTTCATCTTCTCTCTATTATTGAAATCTGGACTGTAAAATCATTATCCTATTGGCATGTGAGATATGTGCAATTGTTCAGTATTGTAGTGTGAAATTCTATAGATTGTTCTTTTTTCAAAATTGGAAGATAAATAGATATTTCTCAATCTTTGGTTATTGCTGCGCTTTTGATAACCGGTTAAAGTCATCTATAGCTCTTCACTGCATCATTTTTTTACAAATTTTAACTATTTTTGATTGTTATTTTACCAATGTCTGCAGCTTAATTGTTATTATTTTCTAAAACCCATTTAAATTCACTTTCCAGAATTTCTGGCTCCAATTCAGTAATCAAACTTTTGTATCTTTTATTTTTGGATATTTTCTATAGTTCTTCATATGTTTGGACTAATTTTTTTTTATATTTTCTTTTTCCAGTAGATCTTTGCCTTTTTTATTTTTATTTTATTATGCCCATCTTTGTTTAAAAGTTTTCCTTCATTTTTAGTAATTTTGTTACTAAAATCTCTTGTCTTTTCCATTTTTATCCTCCATTTGGGGATCACTATTTATTAAATAACCCTTATCTCTTTGTGCTGTTCTCTGGAACTCAGCATTTAGTTAGGTAAAATTTTCTCTTGTTTTCTATCTTCTGCTATTTTAAATGTGTCAAATAACTATTGCCTCTGCATTTTGGGGTAGTTTTGTCTGTTTGATCTGTAATCACGTCACAAATTTCATCTCGCTATTCTTCAAGCATTCTTTTTATCAATTAAATCCCTTAAGCCTATTTTTCATCCCATAACCATAATAGGATATTACTCTGAGATGGTGAGGTCTTATAGTTTGTCTAATAGTATTTTAGGTTGTGGGAATGAAAATATTGGTATAAACATTCATTTTTTTTCTTGGGTAGAACTCTTTTGTTCCCCTTTGTTTGAGGCTAATTTTTCCCATTATTCCAGATACTGTATTACTTTCAATTTCGGCATTCCAGTCATTTTTAATGAATGTGACATCTCTTTTTGGTTTTGTGTTGACATAGAATGTTTGCTACCTCTGCACCTGTGGCTGGAGCATAGATTTGGATCATGCAGTAGAATATTTGATTGTATGGAGTATTATTCTAGTAAATTTTAATGTGATGATTCCCAGAATTCAGTGTTCAGTCTTGTTACCATTGCTCTGATAACATCAAGTTTGCCTTGGTTCATGGTTGTGACATTCCACATACCAATGGCACACATATCTTTTTAGCACTAAACTTTTTCTTTTGCCTCTGGCCATATCCTTTTGGCTTTAATCGGACCACACAATAAATACTGATGTACTTGCAATATCCTCTTCTCCAGGAGTTTATTAGTGATCTAATAAGAGTGGCTTGTCTTTTCAGTATCATATTTATATTTTCTGGTTGTGAATGCCCATGTGGTTTTCTTGTCCGGGCGCTAGAACAGTTTGTCTATATTACTGTTCAAATGTATAATTTTAATTTTTTATAAAAACTGGTTCTCAAGATAAATGAGAAACGGAACATAATTCTTATTCCCTTACCTAAGATACAATGCTATCAAGAAAAAATGAGAAAATATTGTATCAATAAAAGAATTCTTAGTTTATTGTGCTAAATCATACTTTGCTTAACCATGGTTTATATAATACCTTCTAGTTATAACATAGCGTATCATGTGAATGCATTTTTAAACTTAAATACTTTGTCAGTTGATTATGATTTTTCCTAAGATGATTTTTCTTTTTGGAAAAAAACATAACTGCTCTAGTTGAAAAGTTAAGATCACTTGAATTCAGTAATTTTCTTTGGATGCTTTAATTTTAGATTATTTCCACATTCAAATATTGGTGATAGTGGTATCTCAGCACCTCCTTTGATGACTCGGCGAATACGTGAATCTGTCTCTCGGATGCCCGTTAAGTAAGCGGCCCTTTAAGTTATATTAAATTGTTACTGTTTTTCACAAGATAGCAGTATTATGAATTTCTGGGCAAAATTCATGTGTGTAAAATGTGTTTTTTTTTTTTTTTTTGAAAGAATACTTCATCTCAAATTGATTAATTTCTTCAGTACCACTTCAGGCTGCCCAGCAAAGTAGTGTAGCTTTGCACAGTCGTCATAAGTTAAGAAGTAATTCCTTTGCCTCTCAATCTAAAGCAATAAGTGCTTCCACTTATCCACCTCACCCACCTAACTCTGCCCTCTTGTGTGCCGGACTATCTGCCACATCGCCCCACCCACTACCATACCCAACACACTGTATGTCACTACCAGCTATGTCCTTCTTTCGTGCCACCAGAGCCAGGCCTTTTTTGTGTCCTTGTGTCCAGCTAATAGTGATGCATAATGCATATCTGTCCAAGCTCCCTAGTGCACACCACTGCCCCACCCCTTGTCCGCCACTCATAGTTCTCACCCCTGGCATGTGGGACATTGCCACAGTGCTCCTCCGCATATGGCCTGGAGGAAGAGCAAAGGGAGAGAGAGGAAAAGATGATGGGGAAGTAATTGGAAAGGCAGTCATGAATAAATAGTTAAATGTTAGGCGAGAATTACCTGGAGTTATACTCCATCGTTGAGAATAAATCTGCAATTTAGGGGCATGGTCATTATCAAAGCCATAATTTAAAATTGGTTCTCTAATGTTTTGGGAATGAATGTTTTGGGAATCGGGTGTAAAAAACTAAGGTGGATTAAGGGGAAAATCATAGTTGTGATCATTTCCAAAATAACTTTTTATTTCTAGAGAACTTGTTATTCTTAAATAGGTTAAATAGGTTCTATAGATTTTTACAGGTTAATGCATCCAAAATCTTGCGTACCCCAAGATTTATTTTTTATCTGTATATAAAAGCATGCATCTATAATTTTGTTTTCTCTCCTTAGTTCTCAGCATAGATATTCTACACCTCATGTCTTCACATTCAGTGGGACAAATCCTTCTCCTGAATGTTCCCTTTCTCAAAGGCAGAGATCCACCTCTACCCCAAATGTCCACATGGTCAGTACTACTATGCCTGTGGATAACCGGATAATTGAGGTATTATTCCCTATTACTTAATTGGTATTTTACAATATCTAACTGTATGTCTATTTAATAACTCTTAAGTAGTTTCATTCAGATGTATTTTTTCTGATTTTCTAAATCATTACACTATGTTATATGCTGTTCATTCACTGTGTGCCTGGCCTAAGAAAAACCCTTTTCTCAAACATTTCTTAGGCAACATCCTCACATAAGTTATCAATTGCCTATGCTATTAGAGGATCAAAGAACAAGTTATTGCTGCCATGTATGTTAAATCTAGTAATATATCAAGCTTTTCAGTGCTATTATCTCTGCTAACTAATGAACAGTGGAGCCAATTTTGAACTTTATAACTATGACTGTATTACAACTGTACTTACAATAGCTGATTGAGTAGAATAAAGAACAACTTTTGTATCACAGGACCCACAACAATATGCTATTTATGCTCTCTAAGATAAAAAGTCTGCTACATTATTCTTTCCAATGTAGCAGTTGAACAAATAATCTGGAAATACATCTTCTGAGAATAAAAATAGAATAATAAATAGATACCATATTTTTCGGACTATAAGATGCACTGGAGTATAAGACGCACCAAGATTTTGAAAAGGTAAAATTTTTTAAAAAGATTTTGCCCTTCCCGGCCCCTAGGAGCCTGTTTTTTCGCAAAAATGGGCCCATTTTCTTTTGCAAAAAATGGTTTGTGCAGAGAGTTTGGAAGGCTTGCAGAATGCTCCCAGGGGATTGAGTGGGCAAAAACACCCCTGTTTGTGTGAAAAACGGGCCCGTTTTCACTCATTTTTGCTCTTCCCAGCCCTCAGGAGCACTTTGTAGGCCTCTCAAACCCTCTGCATATCCATTTCTGCAAAAAACGGGATGCATGGGCAGGGTTTCGGGAAGTCAAAGGTGCTGTATTCAATATATAAGACATACCCAGATTTTCACCCTCTTTTTGGGGGAAAAGGTGTGTCTTATACTTCGAAAAGTATGATAATATCTTGTATTTTAATATTTTGGAATCCGTTTATTTTATCTAAAGCAGTTTGTTCAGTCTGCCTTATTATAAGGCCTGCCATGAATAAAATTAAACACAGATTGTTAAATGTTTGTTTGCTTGGGATCCAAAAGATTTTAGATTTAATGTTTACTTACTGTACTAAAAAAGCTTTAAAAAAATTAATACTTATTTTATTTTCCCAATGCAGATATTACATAACAGGGTATTAGGTGGCCAATGTAGATTTTGGGAATATTGTTAATATTGGTGAAGTTTCAAGTATGTGAATGTTAAAATGCATTGGAAGAGATTATGAAAGATATCCAGAGACTTGTTATAATAAAATTTTCTTGCATAATACTGTTGTTCAAATTTTCATTCTGGAAAAGCCATTTGCCTTTTCTATAAAAAAATGTCCCCAGGTAGTAGTGACCAAGTTTAAAGTTTTTATAGACATGGCAATGTTAGAATTTTGAGTTCCTTGTCCTATTGTCCTATTTGCATGAATGTGTTGGGTTTTTCTTTGTATTCATGTGCAGTGTATTGATCTGTCTTTTCCGGAACAGATAAAATAGGTTGTGTTCTCACATCTAGAAATGCTGAAACCAGCAATGAAATGCTTCCTAAAGTATTGAGATGAACAAAATGGGAACATGATTTTTCCTTGGCGTCTATCTGTGATACTTTTGATTTTTTCCCCCTTGATTTTTCATTGAATGAAGTTAGGGGGTCATTTTTGAGAATTGAAATGTAATTGATTAGTTTAATTCTACTTGAGTTTGCATTATTGGGTTTTTTCAAGTGTTTTTCTTATACAGTTAAGTGTTTTGTTAAGTCACAACATACTTGAATTCTTTTTCTTTGGTCCGTTTTGCATGCAAGTTTGGCTTATAGCGGAATCTTACTGCTCTCCAATTTCTCTAACAAAATAATTTTGAGAACTTCCCTTTCAGGAACTTTCATGGTCTATGGAAGGTCTGCTTGGCTAACTTTGTGAGGCAACTGCATCAGTTTTAAAATTCTTGCAGTTCTTAGATAGTGTAACCTACGCTTAGCTACTACATTAACTCTCACTCTCCCCACAGTCTGTTCTATACTTCTTTCATCTTTAGCAGCTGGAAACTGTTTTTTTACTACTCCTTCTGTTCTTTTCTTATTTCTCATTGCTTTGAACTAGAATAACAGCCTGAATGCTTCTCCCAGGTCCTGGTGCAGACGATTCTGTTTAAGGGGAAGAGTAGGTATTATCTGGATGCCTTTGCTTGGTTCATTTAACAAAGTTGCTAAAACAGCTGACCAGATTAGAGTGAATTAATTGAAACTTTATATTGAAGTACTGGTGTGGCATGTTTGCTTGACCCTAATACAAAAATCAGGGCTATTTTTTATTTAGTAGAATTTCAATTGCAGTATAGCACTATAGAATAAGATCCCATAGCCACTTAGCCTGAACTTTTTCATTTCAGTGTCATCCTCTTATATTTTCCAATTGCTGGTTAAATGCATATACAAAAATAGAACCAGAAATAGTCATCTTTTTTATTGAGGAATCAGTATAGATTCTCACTAAGCAGTTGAATGGGAACCTGCATAGTTCGGTTTATATAAAGTAAGATTTCAGCATATTTTTTCTTTTAAAAGAGAACACACAATACATAACTGAAGTGAAAGTGTTTTTCAAATTAGTAAGACATAATGTCAAAATGGCTGAAATACAGCCATTTATTTTTAGCATTAGCAATTTGGGACCTTGGTTCTATGTCTCACTGGAAATAGAATGGATTTTAAAAAAATAATCAGAAAGCAACCTGTGTTCTACATAAATTTGCAAGAACATGCAATAGTTGATTTCAGTTCTGACGGATCTAAGGCATCATTTAGTGAACCTTGTGTGCACACCTGCTCTTTTCCCTTTGCACATGTGCAGGAACTGTTTCAGAAGCTCTGCTGATTATCTGGAACACAGGTTTCAAGGTTTTATGCCTTGAAAAAGTAGAATGAAAACAATAAGTAAGCTGGTTTTACACACAATTCTTAGGACCTGAAGTTGTTCCCAATTGTCTTTTTTATAACTGAACCTATGTTGTTTTATAACTGAATAGATTATGAAATTCTCACACAGGATTCCATTCAACTTTTTCATAGCTTTATTAGAAAATTATTTGAACCTTCACTATTTCTGTTTTATGGATTGCATTCACTTATACACCCACTTATCTTTCAAAAAAAAAATCTGAGTGGTTTGTACCCAATTTACTGAGACAAACAAATTCATCATCTTCAAGCCATTCAAGCCATTATTTTGCCCACATTTCGACCTTGGGTATTCTTTCCTGGAGTATTTGGGCATGTACATCTTTCTGTCAATTATCCAAATATTAATTTGGACCGTATTGGACAGATGAGGATCAGTACAAATGTGTGTTTGATCACAGTTGTGCATGTTTACATAGACTAGCATGCGTAACATAAAGGAAGAGAAAGAGAAACCAGCTCAGCTGCAGCAGTGCTATGCTGGAGGGAATCTGAATTTCTTTTTTTTACAGATCCAGCAAAGTATCTGCTTTAGACACTAGAATAAAAACCATTTTATTGGAAAATGAATTTGAAATATTAAAACTGTCCTATGCATTTGTTCTTCTTTTCTTGGTTTATTTATTTTTTGATTGCCTGTAAACAAGCAGTGCACAAAAATGCGGATAACAATTTTGACATTCCTGTATAAACTGCAAATAAATCACTTGGGCCTCATTTTGAATGCTAAGCATGTCATAATTGCTGCATAAGTGCAGTTAGGGTTCCTTGTGCTTTGAATTGCCAATATCCCTTCTCGCCATATGTTTTGGCTGATGTTTTGAAGTCTAAAATCAAAGCTGCTGAGTCAGATTCTCTTACAGAGACATTGGCTACTCTGTTCTGTTTTTCACAGAAGTTATTGTTGAAAGAATGACAGTATTTTTTCCCTTTTGTTTCAGGATGCTATACGTAGTCACAGTGAATCTGGTGAGTGCGTTCACTAAAATATGGTAATTTAGATACTCCTTAAAAGTGTGAAATGAAGCAATCCACAACTTTTTCATTTTCCTGCCAGAATGGACTACTTCAAATTTTCCAGATTTAGTCCTCTCCAAATGTATATTTTGGGAAACAGGAAATGTTCCAAAGTGTCCCTGAAACAGGCACGTTTGGAAAAGCTCAAACTATCTAGAATACTCAGGTCAGACAGAATGTTCTGAAGAGAAACTGCTGTATTTTTGCAGTGTATACAGGTAGTCCTTGCTTAACAACCCCAGTTGGGACTGGCAGCTCTGTCACTAAGTGACACAGTAGTTAAGCGAGTCATCATGTGACTCTGGCCGACTAACATCACTTTTCCCTGCAGTCATTAAGTCTGCTTGTCAGAAGCTGGCAGTGAAATGCAGAAATGGTGGTCAGATGGTTGTGGGACGCTGCAGTGATCATATGTACAAGGATTGAGTAATTTTGAGCACCGTCACAACTGTGAATGGTTGCTAAACAGGGCAGCAATTAAGTGAGGATTACCTGCATAAATATATGCAGGTTTCATGCCAGTTCTTGCCTACAATCTTTACTTGTGAAGGAATCCTGTATTGTTAGAATCTATTACTTTTTTCTTTAAATATTTGAAGCCTCACCACCAGCTATGTCGGGAAGCCCCAACAATACAAGTCCAACAGGGTGGTCACAGCCTAAAACACCAGTCCCGGCTCAAAGAGAACGAGCTGCAGNGCACTTTGCGTACTTCACGGATCACTGGGATGGCTCCTCATCTGATAAGTGGGTACAGAACACCATTAGGCACGGCCTGTCACTGGAGTTCCTTTCCAGCCCCCCAAAGTTTTTCCGGATCTGCCCGGTTTCAAATAACCCGGCACGGAGATTACTGATGCAGGAGGCCATACAGCACCTGCTGGACATCCGAGACATCCAGCCAGTGCCTCTAGACCAGCAAGGCCAGGGGCATTACTCTATCCTTTTCGTAATCCCCAAGGCATCAGGGGACTGGAGGGCAATTCTTGACCTGAAACATCTGAACAGCTGTTCAGCTGTTCTGTTATAGGATGTTCAAAATGCACTCTCTCCACTCCATCTTGGAGGGGATCAGGCAGGGGGACTTCCTTACTTCCATAGACTTCACAGAGGCCTACCTACACATTTCAATCATTCGTTACCACCGGAGGTATCTCAGGTTCTACTACCTAGGGCATCATTTCCAATACCGGGCCTTGCCCTTCGGCCTGTCTTCCACCCCACGAGTTTTCACCAAAATAATGGCTGCCCTGGCAGCGCATCTGAGACAGGTCTTGGTCAGGATTCAATGTTATTTAGATGACCTGCTGATACAGTCATCCTCTTTTGAGGGGGCTCTAAGGGATCTAGACACCACTATGACAATCCTGAAGGACCATGGGTTCTCGATGAACCTGGCCAAAAGCCACCTCCACCCATCCACTAGTCTAATCCACCTAGGGGCTCTGATAGATTCAGAGGAGGGCAGGGAAAGAAAAGACAAAACAGACAAGGGTATGTGCTCTTTCCAACCAGTTTTCCAGTTAAGACTTTAAAAAGTGCTCTGGTGATGCCAGTAAGAATGTTAATAACCCATCATTATGGATGAATTTGCCTTTATTTGCATCACTGTATTTAGGAAAGCAAGGAAAAAGTCATTTTTATCCTAAATGGGCAAACTTATTTCCCTATTAAAAGAAAAAAGATTTATGGTGCCAATGAACAAAATTCATTTCCTTGAATCTCCTGCACTGCTAATGTTACCTGGTACAGTAATGTGAAACACTTCATCCTGTTCAGAAATGGGGAAGCCTTGTAGATAGATATTTCTACTATAGGGGTGTCAAACTCGCAGTGTTGCATTGTCGTTACATGACATATTGTGACTTTTCCCCCTTTGCTAAACCGGGGTGGGCATGGTCAGTGCGTGAGGCATCCAGCCAGTGGGCTGCAAGTTTGACACCCCCGTGCTACAACTATTCTTCTTGCATGAATAGTAATGACAACATATCCTACAACCAGTGTGAAATATAAACCACCCATAAACTGTGCATGCGGATGGAAAACAATGAAAGGTTGAAATATGATTCAACTGATGAGACAGATGGATTCCTTAGACCAGCGGCTAATCTTTTTGTTGCTGAGTGCTGAAAGTGCATGTGTGCATGAAAACATGCACATGAGCCTCTATAATGCAATGCGTGCACAACTCCCAGGTGCACATGATCCCCCAGGTGCACCCTGCACATGCATGCATGACCCCCTTGCCCCCCACATGCGCATGCAACCTCCGTGCATGCATGCATGACCCCCCTCCCGCATGCCCCACCCCACGCATGTGTCTCCCACAAATGCCTCATCCCCCCTGCATGCGTTAACAGAGACCCAAAAACTAGCTGGCTGGTGAGAGGTGTGTGCACATGCACAGTGGAGCTGTGCTGGGGCAACGGCTCATGTGCCCGCAAAGAGGGTTTTGCATGCCATCTGTGATACGCATGCCATAGGTTCACCATCATGGCCTTAGACTATACAAATAGCGTCCTGTCATGAATAGTAAACATACTAGAAATAATTTTAAAACCCAATCACACAAAAATGTTAACAGCTATTGATATTAAAAGATTAAAAGAAAGCCAAAGAGAAACCAAAGTGTTCTTTCATTGTATTTACGCTGCCTATGGTCTGACCTAAGCGTAGTACACAAAATTATCTGCTACAACGTCCTAGCTGTCAACGACTACTTCAGCTTCAACCTCAATAATGCAATGGCAAACAATAGATACAAACTCAAAGTAAACGGCTCCAGACTTGATTGTAGAAACTACGGCTTCAGCAACAGAGTGGTCAATGCCTGGAATGCTCTACCTGACTCTGTTGTTACTTCCTCTAATCCCCATAGCTTTAATCTTAAACTGTCTACTGTTGACCTCACCCCATTCCTAAGAAGTCTGTGAGGGCGTGCCATAAGCGCACTACCGTCCCTGTCCTACTGCTCCTATTTATTTGTACTCATTTCTTGTGTTCTTATTCATGTTTATTCCTATTCCTGTTATCTTGTACACGAGTGACAAACTAAATAAATAAATAAATAAAGCACTACGAAACGGTATATAAGTCCAAGTGCTATTGCTATTACCTACCTTTCGAAGGATTGGACACATCCTATACATGCACCTAGCAATCCAATTACGTGTGTTCAACATCAGACTCTTTGGCTTCACATTTTGGTCTGGGGCTCCTTGTGGATTCCCGTTTCCAGCTTTGTTTGCAAGGTCTCCCAGAGCGACCTCCTCCTATCCTTGCTAGGCTTATCTGGGCATAGAGAGCAACATGTACACCGCCACCGCCACCAGAGCGGCGAGAAGGAAACGGAAGGCGGATATATAAGGAACGGAAGTTACTAACCGTAGCTCAGCAACCGTAAACAAAAAGGGGGGGGGCGGAACCCCTCTGAGGCGCCGCCACAAGTTTTGACAGAAAGAAGCCGATTGGCTGCGGAACCAAAACCCCAGGGGGAGTGTTCCGTGGATAACGTAACTCTTAGGAGTCGGACCTCGAGGGGTGCTGGGAATTGTAGTTTCGAAAAGCACCGCGAAGGGGGAATGGTCGTCACAGCGCCACAGAGCTCGACCAACCGAGCTCCCCAGGACCTCGACTTTCTTTTTTTCATTTAAACAGCATGTGTGTTAACTTTTCCCAAAACTTCTTTAATTAATAATAATAATAGTAAATCCTCACAGAAAACGGCCTTTCGGTGGCAGCAGGAAGCCGGCGAGCTAAATAATCCCTACTGCAGCCGTTGAGATACCTGAAATGGCCGTTTCCAAAAACCTTGCGCTCCGTTCTTTAAAGAACAAGAGGTTCCGACTGGCGGAATATGGCATTCTGAGCCGTTTAGAACCGCTTGGTAGAGAGAGAGATGGTTGGGGGGAGAAGACGGGCGGCGTGTAAATGTAATAAATAAAAGGAAAGAGAAGTTCATGAAAACTGAACCCGGAATCTCAGCACCTTAGCTCTCTTCGCTCCCTCTAACAATTGTGAAGCTATGGTGCGGCGGCCATTTTACGTCAGGGCAAAAGAGGCCGTTCTGAAGGAGGGAAAGAAGCGAGGCCGGATTGGTTGCTTGGCATTTATCGTCGGCGTACGGTTTCCTGTGGCAATCGTTGTAGGCCGCAGGCTCTGTGGGGTTGGTGAGCAAGTGAAGAGGCAGGGACTATCGGCGGTCGGGGAGGCCTTCCGCTTTTTTGTGGGGTGGGTGTCGCCCTCTTTATCTCCTGGGACGACGCCTGGGGAGAGGAGGTGGGGTTGAAGAGGCGGAATTCAGTGCTGTCGTAAACCGAGCGGCCTCTTTCTGTGGCTGCGGGTGCTGGGGCGAGGAATGTGGTGGTGGTGGTGGTGGTGGAAGAACCGAGAACGTTGGACTGCAGACCCAGCGAGCGGTAAACCGTGTGCTGCCCTGGGCGGCTGTTGACAGCTTCGGACATTGTAGGTGTCTCTCGTTTAAGAGTTCTCCTGAGCACGAGCAAAGTTTTTTATCCGCCTCAAGCAGCATTTAGAAGACAGTGGAGCACCTGTTGTTATTATTTTCTCAGTATGTTTTATCGCTTCTTGTTTTTTTGCTCCCCAGGGCATATGCCTCCTTGTTGGTGGATACCTTTTGATCCCGCAAACAACCGATCACAGAGAGGACCAAGAACTCCATAGTTCAATCCTGAACTCCGGATATTCTATTGTTATCTTAAGTTTTCAGTAAACAGAACAGTAAGAATGCAAAGGCGGCAAGAAAGTGGGACAGAGTTACCAAACGAAACCTATGACAGGCTAAGGAACACAGTTTTGATCCAGGGGTGGGATACTACTTTATTTCTTAGCCTGTCATGTTTTATTTGTTAACTCTTCCCCCATCTTCTTACTGTCTTTATTTTTGTGATGTCCAGCTTACGGAAAGCTAGATGACAATGCAGGTAGTCCTCGACTTAACAATAGTTCACTTAGTGACCGTTTGAAGTTAAAGCAGCACTGAAAAAAGTGACTTATGAACATGTTTCAGTCTTACGACCAATGGCAGCATCCCCATGGTCACATGGTTTATATTTGGATGCTTGACAACTGACTCACATTTATGATGCTTGCAGGTCACCTTTTGCAACCTTCTGACAGTCAGCGTGAAAACAATCATGTCACCAATTTAACAACTGCAGTGATTCAGTTAACAAATTTGACAAGAAAAGTAATAAAACGGGACAAAGTTCACTCAACAAATTTCTTACTTAGCAACATAATTTTTGGGCTCAATTGTCATAAGTCAAGGACTATCTGTAGAATATCTGTAGCTCAGGATTGAAGTATGGAGCCCTTGGTGCTCGAGCTTGGTTGTTTGCATACAGATGTTTCATTAGCCAACTAGGTAACTTCATCAGTACCAGTAAGTGTGGTGTTTGCTTTCTGTTTATATACTTTAGCTTGCTTTGCCAGTTTTTGGTGGGAGTCTAGTAGGGCAATGAAACATCGGCAAGCTAACAACCAAGCTCAGAGACCATTAAAGACTCCATAACCAGATGCAGTTCAAATCCCTGTTTGCTTCAAAATAATTAAATCAAATGTAAATGTTCTGAATTGTCAGCAGATCTCAAATGGGAAAAAAAGCAGTAAATAGCAAATTAAACAAGCATTTTGATACCATTTTGTGGATTCTAAGATGAAGAATGTTTTTTTCTTTGTTTAAAACTAATGAGGCCTTGAGTGCAAAAATTTTAATACAGGAGAGGGGATTTGCAAGCATTTTGGTTCAAATACAATTTGTTGTCTTGTTTAGTCCCCCCCCCCTCATTATTGGAAATATGTCTCAGTAAGACAAATGAGAAAAGTTAAAATTCAGATATTTGCAATGTTCATTCTCATTCTTTCAGAAAGAATAATTGGAGAAGTGGGAACCTCCAGTTTGTAGTTATGTCTGGGATTGGGAACAAACGAGTGGCTGCAGAGACAAGCCCATCAGCTCCTCCAGAGAAGAAGGCAGGAGTTGAGGACTCTGAGACCACTGTGGAGACTATTAAGCTTGGTGGCATTTCCTCAACGGTTTGTATCTCCTGTTGGGTTTTACTCTTTCTGTGGAATGCAATATTATTTTGATTATTATGCTCTTCTGGACTCCCACAGCCTCTGGGATGGGTTCTATCACAAAGCTGTGTGGACTTGGGTATCACTGTCATGGAAGTGATAAACTTGTTTCTAGGATAGGATGTGGGTGATTAATTGTGAGTCCTTCCTCATTCCTTTTCCCTTTCATACTACTTTTGTCTATGAATTTTTATAGGAAGGGGGATATTTGAGAAACTTTGTGTGATAACCCATTTCCTATAGCGTGAAATGTTATGAATCAGATTTTGATATGTAGATACCTAGCGTTCTCTATATATTTTGGAATTCAGTAGCAAAGAATTGTGGATACTTTGGTCCAAAAAATGTGGAGACCATCAGGTTGCTTACTGCTGACTTACTACTTCAGACATACATTGAAATGAATAGTTATTCTTCCCAAACCTAGATCAACATTATTACCACTATACTATGTTGGCTGTATTTCAGGAAGAACTGGACATTCGCACACTTCAGACTAAGAACCGAAAACTGGCAGAGATGCTGGACCAACGGCAAGCTATTGAAGATGAGCTGCGAGAGCATATAGAGAAACTGGAAAAGCGTCAAGCCACAGATGATGCTTCACTACTGATTGTCAACCGCTACTGGAGTCAGGTCTGCTGCATTTTTCTCCTAATGGTCCCATCCCTTTAATTATGCTTGGCAAACTTTGTTATCAATGAAACATGTCCTCTTTTCAGTTTGATGAGAACATTCGCATCATTTTGAAACGCTATGACTTGGATCAAGGCCTTGGGGACCTTCTGTCAGAGCGAAAAGCGTTGGTGGTACCAGAACCAGAACCCGATTCAGACAGCAACCAAGAGCGTAAAGATGAGAGGGATCGAGGTGAAGTATCTGCTACAGGATGGTAGATGTTTTACATATGCTTATGATCTCATGGTAGTATGAAATAATTTATTTTTTGGATCCAGATTACATCTAGTTATAATTGTTTTCTTGCACTATTATAATTTAGGAGAAATATTTGAACCTGCATTCTCCTTTCTGGCTACACTGGCTAGTAGCACTAGTGAAGAAATGGAATCCCAACTACAGGAACGTTTTGAGTCTTCCCGCCGTGCAGTCACACAGATTGTGACAATGTGTGATAAACTTCAGGAGAGCGTGGATGTGCTGTCTCAGAAACTGAACAGTGGAGGTATGACATTTTCCAGAATTTATGGATATACCATACTGCATTTTCAAAACATTTGTACTTAGATAACCTTTCAAGGAATAATTCAGGGCTAATCTGTTGCTAATCCATTGACTTTGCTGCCAATTTGACAAATGAATAATGATTTATAGCAGTTGGTTCTTTTGAAATTATGCTAAAAATAGATATTTGGCTGGAATTGCAACTTCACATCAAGAGAGGTCCCACAATAGGGCAGACTGCACCTTGTAGTAAACTGGAATTATCAGATAAAATGAATTTTGAACTTGATAAACTATATTAAAGACACTTTTTGACTCTTCTCATATTACTAGATTTCCAATTCCAATTGCTCCTGGCTATTGCCCATATTGTCTGAAGATTATCAATCCAACAATGTGTTTTGATATTCTTGAGTGCAGTATCTTGTTGGAGTCGAAAATTGAAAGAACAGGTTCTGATGATTTACCATGACTTCCAAGTTAAATGATGTGTCTATTCTCACATGCTTAGGTCCAAACTACTTGCAGGTTAACCTGGTATATAATCCAGGCTACACTGTAGCTCCTCAAAAGGCATCTTTGTAATGTTTTTTTTATCACACATATGGTATTATTTGGTTCATTTGCTTTTTAAATTCGGTCCATCTTTCTATTGCTAAATTACATTTGTTTTCTGATTTAGTTGAACTCCTAATAAAATCCGTGAAAAACCTTCATTTTGGTTTCTTTATGTAGATAGTACCAAACATCATTAATATTTCAACTTGTTCATGGTACACTTTTGCTGCGTGAGGTTTGAATCCACAATGATTATTTATATATTTTATAATTTGTAGTTACTTCATTTTATGTTTGATTTCTTTATTGTACTTTAGTTCTGTGTAATAGGGAGTTCGCTACAATGTTATTTGTATCATTATAAACATATTTAGAAATATCTGTAAAACTGAAAAGAAATAAACAAAAAGAAAAAACAATAAAATGTTGTAGGAAAGTAAAATCTTAAAGTCTTCTGATGTAGTATAGAATCAAAATATACATTACAGAGCCATTGTGGCACAATGGTTAGAATGCAGTATTGCAGGCTAATTCTGCCAACTGCCAGCTGTTTGATCCTGATCGGTTCAAGATTGACTTAGTCTTCCATTCTTCCGAGGTCAGTAAAATGAGAACTGAGGTTGTTGGGGCCGTATACTGACTCTGTAAATAGCTTAGGGAGGGGCTGTAACTGTTATGAAGTAGTATATAAATCCAAGAGCTATTAGCACTAACAATAGTACTTAGACTTATATACGGCTTCACAGTGCTTTACAGCCTCTCTAAGCAGTTTATAGAATCAGCATATTGCCCCCAACAATCTGGGTCCTAACTTTAATAACCTTGGAAGGTTGAGTCAACCTTCATCTGATGAAAATCAAACTACCAAACTGCTGGCAGCAGGCAGTAGCAAGCCTGTAATACTGCATTCTAACCTCTGCGCCACCACGGCTCTATTGCTATACATTGCTTCATTAGATGTATTTTTACACACTTGTTTTCAAATTTTAACAATAAAAACTGTGAAGAATGCAGATACCTTATTAGTTATCCTGGTTTTTGAAACAATACTTTAAAATTGTAAGATTATTTAGAATTGTTCCCATCATCCTATAAAAAATATAATAATTATCGTGTCTTGTTTATTTCTATTTTTTAAAGAAAATATTTATTGGCTTGATAGCTTCAATATGATAATGTTCATTTCCCACCGCTCATCTTCAGATGTATCCCTAATGGAAGAAGCTGTTCAAGAGCTGAATTCCTTTCTAGCAAATGAGAACAGAAGGCTGCAGGAATTGGCTGATTTGCTTCAGGAGAAACATCGCTCTATGTCTCAGGAGGTACAAGGAAAGATTCTACGAAGCCATGTAGCAAAAGTGATGGGGCTAGGATTTTAATTTTGGGAAGCAGAGGAAAAGACATAAAGGAGAAGGATGTTAATTAAGAAGCTGCTGAATCTTACATATACATTATTTGCTAGGCCTTATAACCTACACAGTGCAAAATTTTGAGGTGTCTAGAAGAAGAATAGGTTGTTGATGTTCAATGAAGGGGGAAACTCAACTGTGGAACCTAAAAGTAGATTGTGAAGAAGAAAAGGGGGCGGGGGACGAAGCAGAGCTCTCATAGTGCCAGCCAGTTATTAGGTAATAGTATACATTTATGTGTATCACATCACTAGTAAAGCTGAAACAACATTGAGTGCAGTTCAGTGTTACAAATCCTATTGGTGCAACTGGTCTTATTCATTAGCTATCATGAGAAGTGCAAATATTTGTTAATTTTAAATTTATTTTTAGTCTAAAACTCAGAGACTTTAGAATTCACCAATACCCCAAGTTAAATAAATACACTGCTTCTTATATATTGATTGGAGGTAGGAATTGGCTTTTTGAGGTTACTAGAAGTGGGTACAGATGGCTGCACTCAAACATTCTGTTTATTCAGATATTACTGGGACAGCAGCAGCAGTGTCCTCATAATTTTTCTGCTAGGAGCATGAGCCATAAGATTATGGCTTCTCATCTCTACCAAGTTATAGTTTCACCATCCTCTTTGGTTCTTAATATACTTCTCAACTTATTTTCAAATAATTGACAATCTCAGCTACTCAGAGAGTCAGGCTTCACACATATTGCTCCCCAATGATTGCTGTAGGCTTTGTTGAAATTCATGGGTCCTAGATGGAGAATATGGATGCAGTTCAGGTAGTCCTTAACTTACAACAGTCTATTCAGTGACCATTCAAAGTTATAACTGCATTGAAAACAATGGTTTTCACACTTATGACAGTTGAGCATCCCTATGATCAAAATTCAGTGCTTGGCAAATGGTTCATATTTATGACGGTTGCAGTTTCCTGGGGTCATGTGATCACTTTTGTGACCTTCGGACAAGCAAAGTCAATAGGCAATCCAGATTCACTTAACAACCATGTTACTAATTTAAGAGATGCAATGATTCACTTAACAACTGTGGCAAGAAAAGCCGTAAAATGGGACAAACTCACTTAATAGATATTTCACTTAGCTACAAAAAGTTTGGGCTCCATTGTATTTATAACTCGAGGACTACCTGTAATATATGGAGGTGAATTAACCATCAAGCTAGTTTTGGACTGATGTGCAATATATTGTGGTTAGGGTTGCATTCTCTGGAAAAAAAACCACAGCCTTAGGTAGTTCTGTACCCTTAGGTAGTTCTGTTCTGTTCTTGGAGGGCAGAGACTATAGCTACTCTGGCTAAGAAAAAGAGATTCTTGCCACCTTCATTTCGTGCCTTGAATGGAGAATAGGGGGAAGCTTCTGGACAGTATTTAGAAATGAAAGCAATGCTATATTGCTCTCTGCAGAGTGCTTTGTTCACTATCATTTGTTCTCTGAACTGCACTGGCAGCTTCTTTGTTTCTCAATGATGTTCAAGATGTTGATTCTTGGAACCAGCATTTCCAAGAATCAACAGTTTTAATGAACATTTTATTCTGATGCTGTTAGTCCTACTCACTAACAATTAAGTTAGGTTACAGTTTTCCCTTTGTGTCTTGCTTTCAGTTATAAATGTGTTTTAAATATTTTTTAAATATTCACTTTAAAAATTGTGAGTCTGTCAAAGCAATGCCTTCTTTTGTAGAGGAGAAGCACGTCATACATTTCTTAAACAGAAAATTAATAAATGAGAAAACTTGCCTTCTCCGTTTTAAATATGCCTGTATTTAATTCATTGTTCTGTTGTATGAGAACAATCCCATAATTATTAGTAAGCTTGAACATTGGCTTCAAAAGAGGCATTCTGTAAGTGTGACATTTTAAAACTGAAATGATTCTAATGTTGTAAAGGTGCCTTTAGAGTTATGGTTCAACATTGTGGCACAGAAACAAGTCATTCATAGGATGCATATAGCGTATAAGTTGTGGACTTTGTAGTGACATCCTGAATGAGATAGGGTGTGAGTGCAGTGAAAGGGAGGAGCAGGGAGGGAGGTTTCATTAGCTCCTGGAAATTACTTTATTTGCACGCATGTGGCAATGACATCCTTGGTGAAGGTAGAAGTAAAATTTAAGATTTTTGTGTAACACGCAGAATGTCAAAACTGAATAGTCGCTCTCAAGAATAAATACAGGAATCTCATTTAACTTCCCTCCCTTCTAATTTCTTTGCCTCAGTTTTCCAAATTACAAGGGAAAGTAGAGACAGCAGAGTCTCGTGTATCTGTGCTAGAAACTACAATTGAAGACTTGCAGTGGGATACGGACAAAATCCGCAAACGAGAACAGCGGTTGAACAGGCACCTGGCAGATGTTCTAGAAAGAGTAAGTAGCAGTCCCAGATTAAAAAATAGAAACATATCATATTTCTTGGTTAATGTGAAAATGTGATCATCAATTTGGAATTTCCTATCTTCTTAGATAGGCATTTTGCATTTCAGTGAAGATCTCTGTAGTTGTACAATGATTGTAAAGAATAGCAGTTTTTTTTTTTTTTTTAAAGAGAACCGGAAACCAAATGTATAAAATTGGTGGAAGCCTCTTTTCAGAAAAAAAAGCTTCCTTATTTAAATTTCCTCTTGGAAAATTGTTCTTGAAAGACAGTAGAAACTACCTTTTGGACAACTGTTGAAGGCTGCTCATTTATTATGAAAAGATTTCCAATAGCTTGTGGTAGTGCTGTGAATAGCTTCCTGCCTTTCCCTGAAAGAAACAAAATTGTATTATTATAATAAATAAATATGCTATTCTAAAAGCAGTGCATTAATAAAATAAAATAAAATTGAATAAAATAAAATTTTAGAATTTGGCTTGCTTTCACACCTCATTTGAAATTGTTTTGAATCAGAATAAAGTCTTTAATTTAGTGTTGTTTTCTTTATAAACCATGGCTAAATATTTCTCTAATCCATTTTTTGCATTATCTATATACATCTCCATGAGGGACAAAATTATTGCTATTGATAATTTAGTTTCAAAAGTTAAAATGCACATACAGAAAAACAACCAAAAAGCTTTTTAACCTTTATATATGCAGAGGGAAATCTTAAAACAATGTTTTCAAAAAAGCTGGGGAGACCAAATACATTATCATTTTCTATTTAATGATGGCAACGAGGATCAGTCCATAACTCCAATTGGATAAGTTTTCATTTCGTACAATTTGCATTTTTATGAACAGTTCCTTCGTAATAACAGCTGTTAAATGTTTCCAAAGATAATCTTAATATATTTGTGTTTTTTTTTAAAAATTGTAAATGTTACAGGTAAACTCAAAAGGATACAAGGTATATGGAGCAGGTAGCAGTCTCTATGGAGGTACAATCACAATCAACTCTCGAAAGGTAACTTTTAAGGTTCAGCGGCATAGAGGTAGTGGGGGGATCAGAGAGTGAGAGCACAAAGCACAGGATGTTACACATTTATGGTCCTGGTGTTTTTCCATTTTGCAGTTTGAGGAGATGAATGCAGAACTTGAGGAAAACAAGGAACTGGCCCAAAACCGTTTGAGTGAATTAGAAAAATTGCGTCAGGATCTTGAGGAGGTGATAACTCAGAATGACAAGCTAAAGGTATGAATAGGGCATGCGTTTCCCAAAAGTCTGGAAACTCTGTTAAATTTGAAAGTGTAGTTCACTCTCACATCTGCAAGGCTTTAATTTTGGAGTCCATCTAAGAGTCAGAATTAACAGTCAATAGTTCCTATCTTTGTGTTATTGAATGGACCAGTTTTCCCAGGTGTGTCTTCTGAATGGATGAAGGAATGTATGAAGATATGAAATCTCTGCAGTATTTGGAGGATACTATCAGATGTTTAAGTCAGGAAGACCATTAGTTTTGGTTAGCTTCCTAACCCCAAATCTTTACAGTCTGCTGCTTATTCATCAAGACAATAGTAGTCAGTCTGGATATGTGGGTGAGACGGACCAATCCAGGAACTGAAAACTGCTCTCTTTCCAAGAAGAGACTTTGGCCCACGGGAATATCTCTTGGAGCCAAAGGTAGCTCTTTCTAACCACAACAGCTCCCATAAAGGGCAGATCATTGCATTTGTATAATGAATTTGTGTATTTATTAATGACATTTGTATAGTTACCCATCTTAAAACCAATTTCTGGGGGATTCACAAACCAGGAATATGAGCAGTAAAACAGGAAACAATAAAACCAAGAACAGAAAAACATGATTTGCAACCAAACATCCTCAGTGCAGTCCATAACAATACTTTGGGGGAAAATAAGTTCTTAAGTGTTTACTGGAAAGTCAAAAGGGTAGGGGCCTGCCAGGTTTCAAGAGGAAAAGTGTGAATGATGAATTGTTCCAAGTGGATCCAAAAGGATCAGGATGATTAAGTTCTTAGTTGACTACAAGAGCCCAAGGTCGGAATAAAATAAGCAGTTTCCTACCTAGCCTGGAGCTCGCTATTTGTCAAAATGTGCATGTTCTAAAGGACAGAGATGCAAAACTTGCATCCATACTGAATTGCAGCCTGCTGGCATCACTTTTGTGATGCCTGAAATCTTCTCATATCTAAGAATTTATTGGTCCTTTTTAAACATTTTAGGAAGCTTTAGTAAATTTTATAAAGTCTTAAGTCTAGCAGATGGTTAAGACATCCATTTAATCTCTTAAAAGTCTTGAACTCCTTTACTGGAGAAGAGCCCTCAACATACCAAACCGTATATTATTGACCCTTCAAACCAGAGGTGGGTTGTTCCCAGTTCGGTCCAGATCGGCCGAACAGTAGTAGCAGTGGTGGGAGGCTCCAGCCACCTGCCCGGACGCTTCTATGCATGTGCAGAAATGTCATGTGCACGGGAGCGCACCCAAACCTGTAGTAAAAAAATGGCAACCCACCATTGCTTCAAACTGATATAAATTGCAACCTCTCCAGGTCTATGGTATGGGCAGAATTCGGCAGATAAAAACTGCTTTGATATATTGTCTTAATTCATCATTACTTTCTTTTTTTCCTTTTAAAAAAGTATTGTAAGAGTGTATAACTCCACATTCTCTATATGATGTGTTGATTTTAATACATTAGCTTCATTGTAACTGGTATACCAGTAATTAGGAAGCAGATTTGTCTGATGCAATGCTGCCCCCCTCTGGACTAATAAAGTAAGCTGGAAATATTAGTAACATACTTTGTCTATATTATCTTAAATATTATTCTAATATTTATTCCAAACTAGAAACAAGATTATTACATACATTGTTTAATATATATTTTCCTCATACAGCTGAAAGCCAGGTAGTTAAGGTTTGAAGCACTCTTCCATCTAGTCTCTGAAAACTCCCCAGATTTGCTTAGCTTTAACTAGATTGCTGTTGAATTGTCCATCTTCTAATAGTGTCCATCTACATAGTTCTTTTTACAGTATGCCCCAAATATACATGAGCAAAGTTGTATATATGATATCCTAGATATGTTGTGTGTTTTGATTTTACTTGGGAAAAGTCATTCCATTGCCTTAAAGAACTCTTGTCTCTTGAATGTCTCTTGAAATTAGGGACATGTTGTGATACATATTTTATTGCAAGGAATATACAGTTAGAATAACATTGATTTTTGATCAGTTAAAAACTTCTTGAAGCTTTAGCCTTGTTTTATAATTGTAACATTTAATTGGTGACATCACTCATATGATATAAAATAAAGTCAGGTCTCTGTAAAAATCAAGCATTCGGAGCATATTGCAGGTGGAAATGGCAGTGTTGAAAACTTGTTGCTCTTGGGGAAAGTACACTGGTGTGTCTTTGGGGTGTCACGGTTTCAGCAATGTCATCAAACTGATAAATAACTGGGTCCCAGCATATTTTGTTTGTATGCAATGATCAGTTGAAGAAACAAAACTAAAGCTGCCATTCTTCATATTGACCAGAGTACATCTAAATATCCAGTGATACATCCCATGGTATGAATTGAATGCAAATCTCTGATGGGATAACTTCAATTTAAGAAGTTGTCCTGCTGTTCTTTTAGCTTCTCTCTTTATTTTGCTTTCAAGATACTCTAATAAAGATTGGAAATCATGTTGCATCCTCTTATTTTATTATGCCACATATAAAGTATGCTATAAAATATGCAGGCTGTTGATTATATTTAATCAGAGCGCTACATAAATGTTTACTACATGTATATTCTTTAATTCAACAATTAACGAGTAGCTTCAGATTATATTGCCAGATTTCATGTATTGTTCTCTTTTTAAATGGCCATATGGGATTTTATGTAAAAGCTTGATAGCAATTTTATTTTATTAACCACCTTGGAAAGAATTTGGTTCCAAGGATTATCTTTGTTGTTATGAATGAAAGGGTAATACCTAAACATAACTCTCAGATTGGTGACAGTTGCTTTCTTCATGTATTTTTTTGGATTGCATTTTTATTGCCTTTATTTCTATCAAATATATATGAACCACTTCTCTTTCATGGGCCCAACCAGGTGGATCTAAGGCAGGCAGTAGAAGAGGTAGTGAAGGAAACTCCAGAATACCGTTGCATGCAGTCCCAGTTCTCTGTATTATATAATGAGAGTCTCCAGTTAAAATCACAGCTGGATGAAGCCCGCACTCTGCTACATGGTACCCGAAATACTCACCAGCGCCAGGTGGAACTGATTGAGGTAATGGCTTTCTCCCTTTGTGTCTCTTACTTTGTCCTGAAAATATAAGAAAGTGAGTATTATATATTTTACAGCTTTGCTCATTCCAAATGTTTTGGACAGTAACTCCTTCTAGGACCAGCTATGTGATATGTGGTTCTTGCTGGCCTGGGACATTGCAGGGTGAAAATGTTTTTGCAACACACACGTTAAAGCCTGTGTGTCAACATCAGGATAATCAGGTGAAGGTTGCAAAGACCAAAGCTACCAGTAGATAAATAGCAAGTAGAATAGCAACTATTCTGGCCAAAATCCCTCAGAAAGGGTTTAGAATAAAAAAAAAAAGTGCAGACAGAAATAGATGATAACACATTTTAGTTGTGTTTCAAGTAAACTGCATAATTTCTGTTATCGGAATTCCCATTATGGTTCTAGAAAGTGTATCTACAGCCTTTCGTCATCATGGCAGCATTAATGCAATAACCATTGTTTTGCCTTGCCAGCGGGATGAAGTCAGCTTACACAAGAAATTACGAACAGAGGTTATTCAGCTGGAAGACACTCTTGCCCAGGTTCGCAAGGAATATGAGATGTTGCGGATTGAATTTGAACAGACTCTTGCAGCTAACGAACAAGCAGGTACTTCATACCAGGTCTTTCATAATAATCCTACTTTGTTGATTTTATAAAACCTGCACAAATACTCTTTTTAATACTGCATAACTTCACCAATGACATAGCTTGTCATGATTGAACATTAAAGGGCCATTGGTTTTAAGATGTATATGATCTTTTAAGTAAGCCTGAAGTATGATGTCACACAAATCTAATGGATGGGTGGGATGTGAGTCATGAGGATTCTACTTCTATAGTACATTATTTTTGATCCATTAGCATGGGTTTTTTAAAGGGCACTTTCTGTGCGTTCTTGCAATATTTTTTTTATTCCACCATAGGTTCTTTTGTAATTGGATTGCTAGAATCATAGGAGGTAAAGCCCTTTATAAGCACCATTTTGAAGGATGGCTGGTACTTGTGATTAATATGAACATGACACTGTCTTTGTGTGCAGCATTTCAATAACTGCAAATGATCAGAGGTCAAAAGGAGGGTCTTTTTGTCATTGACAGGTAGCATTTCATTTGTTTTGGAGGCTTGTATTAGGTTGTGTCCCTAATATAAATCTTCATTGGTTACAATTAGTCTAGAAATGAGTCTATTTGAGGAAGGGTTATTAATGGCAAAATTGAGGAGAAATTGATGTAATACATCTGTCATATGTGTGTGTGTTGTAGGCCCCATCAATCGAGAGATGCGCCACCTCATCAGCAGTCTCCAAAATCATAATCACCAGTTAAAAGGGGAGGTGTTGAGATATAAGCGGAAGCTGAGGGAGGCTCAGTCTGACTTGAGCAAGGTAAGGGAAATGGAAAAATAAAGATTGTCTCAAAAAACTGGAAGCAACAAAGGTGTGTGCATTAGTTCAGGTTTGAAGAACATGTGGGATAGTCTTTGCATGACCAGCTGTGCTTTATTTAAAGAAAGTGCTTGATACTTATATTTTATAAGTATTCCTATTAGAAATGTTTCTTCAACTACTATCCAAGTAGTTTAAGAAACATTGAAATTAGTTGCCTTACTCTCCCAATCCACTCCCTCCCTTCCTTCTCACCCTCCCTCCCATCCTCTCTCCCACCCTCTCTATCCATATTTCTTCTATCCCACTCCTCCTCCCCTTGGTGTATTTCTACTATATGTCAATGTACTTAACTTATCCTATTTTTACAGAGAAATTAAAGAGAAACAGTATATATGTAAAGTTGCATTACATTGAAATCTAATACATAGTATATATCCCCCCTCCCCCCACCCTCC